ATCACAGGCAGACCGGAGTGATACAGGATCCGAGACTGTCTCCATCTGTAGATCTTCACTGAGATAATAACAACTAAACAGGTGATGAAGAGGAAGGAAACTACAGCCAGAGCCAACACTAAGTAAAAAGTCAGGTTGTCATTGTACTCCTTGTCGTGTTTAAAGTCAGTGAACTCAGACAGTACTTCAGAGAAACTGTCAGCCACCGCCACGTTAACAATGACTGTAGCTGAACGAGAGGGCTGTCCGTTGTCCTCCACTATAACAGTCAGTTTTTGATTGACAGGATCTTTATCAGTCACTTGGCGGATAGTTCTGATTTCTCCATTCTGTAAGCCAACTTCAAACAGAGCCCTGTCTGGGACTTTCTGGAGTTTATAGGAGAGCCAGGCATTCTGTCCAGAGTCCACATCAACAGCCACCACTTTAGAGACCAGATAGCCCACATCTGCTGAACGAGGCACCATTTCACCCACCACAGAGCCACCAGTCTGGACTGGGTACAGAACCTGAGGAGGGTTATCGTTCTGGTCCTGGATCAGTATCTTCACGGTCACATTACTACTGAGTGGAGGAGAGCCTCCATCCTGAGCTTTGACACGAAACTGAAAATCTTTGATTTGTTCATAGTCAAAAGAACGCACTGCATGTATGACTCCACTATCAGCACTGACAGACACATAGGAGGAGACTGGTACTCCGTTAACAGAGGAGTCCTCCAGGATGTAAGACACACGAGCATTCTGGTTCCAGTCTGCGTCTCTGGCTTTAACTGTGAATACAGACAGACCTGGTGTGTTGTTTTCTACTATGTAGGCCTCATATGAGCTCCTCTCAAAGACAGGTGCGTTGTCATTAACATCAGAAATCTGTAAGGTGAGAGTGACGCTGCTGGAGAGAGAGGGCACTCCCTCATCAGAGCAGCTCACTGTTATATTGTACTCAGAGGCTCTCTCTCTGTCTAACTCACTGTCTGTTGCTAAGCTATAAAAATCATTAGCTGATGGTTTTAAAATAAAAGGCACGTTTTCGTTTATAAAGCACTGAACTCGTCCATTTTCTCCCGAGTCTTTGTCATCGACATTAATCATCGTGACCACTGTATTTAGCTTAACATCTTCTGAAATAACATTTGATTTTGACATTATGTTAATCTCAGGCCTGTTGTCATTTACGTCTTGCACTTCAACGATTAGTTTGCATGAATCTGTGAGCCCCCCGTCGTCAGTGGCCCGCAAATCTACCTGCAGGTCTTTAGACTTCTCATAGTCGACATTTGAAATTAAGAAAATGTCCCCTTTTTCTGGATTAATCCCAAATATTTTACCAATATTCTCTAACACATTTGTAATTGAATACGTAATTTTACTGTTAGAGCCTTGATCTGCATCTGTGGCTGTAACAGTGGCCACGACTGTGCCTTTAGGTGAATTCTCAGTTACTATAGCTCGGTATGTAGACTGAGCGAAAATTGGGGCGTTATCATTGACGTCTAAAACTGTAATAAGAATCATCATTGTTCCTGACATCTGAGGCTCTCCTCCATCTACAGCGGTTAACACGAGGGACATCTCCTCTTGTTTTTCTCTGTCTAGAGGCTTCTGCAGCACCATCTCAACATTCTTCTTACCGTCTACATTGCTGTGTACTTTCAGAGCAAAATTATCTGTTGGTTTTAGTTTATAACTATGAACATTGTTTATTCCCACATCGAGATCGACAGCCCTTTGTAGCCCGAATTTAGCTCCAGTAGCTGCGGACTCGCTGATTTTAAATGCTATTTCACGCTGTTCAAAAGTCGGTACATTATCATTGATATCTGCGATCTGAACTGTGACGCTGTAAAATTCCATTGGATTCTCGAGCAGAATCTGAAAATGTAGACCACAAACAGCCTTGTCTGAACACAGCGCCTCTCTGTCGATCCTTTCTTTAACCAAGAGCACTCCCTTTTCTCTGTCCAGCTCGATGTATTCGTCGGTGTTTCTCGTATAGACCTTAGCCTTTCCTGATATCAAGCGCTTTATTTCCAGGCCCAAATCCTGTGCTATTTTTCCAACAACGGATCCTTTAGGCATTTCCTCGGGAATAGTATAACTGACCTGTCCGACCACGGAGCCGAGGACGTTAAGGCAGACAAACAACAGAGCTGGCTGATTCATTGTTCGGTCCTCCCGTTACCCTCGTCAAAACGAGTCTCCTTATTCCACAAAAAAAAAAAAAAAACTATTTTAAAATGAAAACATATCAAATCCACGAATAAAGCACAGCAAAAATGGGAAAATTTCTCGTGTAAAATATTCCAATGATGAAGAAGCTAAAAAAGATGCCTGTTCTTCTGTTCGTTGGCCGTCGTGTTGTTTTCTTATATGGCGATGGTAGTGTATGAGGGAGGCATTGCTGCAACCTTAGTGTCCTCCACACTCTGGTCAACAGCGGCACTTAGAGTTCACACTTTAAAACTGCACTCTACACTAAAAATTATACTATAGTAGCAGACACACATTGAAGCTTAGAGGAACTCACTGTAAGTACTGAGTCGTTATTATTCATTTTTTTGTAAAAATGCAAATACGTCAAGCAACTAAAAGAAAATTACCTAAATTAAAGGGAAGAAACAGCGGTGCAATTTTCGCGTAGAATATTTTACTCAATAAAAATAATAACATTTGTGGCCAAAGTTTTAAACTGAAAAAAAAAAGAGTGAGAGACGGAGCGGATGTGTTATGAAACATCTCGTCTATCCACTAATTCCAATAGTGCAGTTACCTATTCAGTGTACAATATAGTGTAATTTTAAATAAGTTATTTGTTTTTTTACCTCATCCCTTTGAGCAAAACACATAATTTGAAAGTGCATACAGCTTGATGAAATTGCTTATATGATGCTTAATTTTAATTCTGATCTTAATAAACAGGTGGAATTGACATTAAAAAACATTTAGAGAGTCTGACCTCTAACGGAGAATCTGGTTCATCCAAGATGCACTTTTCACTTTGTATCCGAGTGAGTGTCCGTGTAGAATTGGGGTCCATTATCAGCACGTTCTGATTACCAGCTCTGCCGAGCTTAAGGTCACTCTTTCTTGAGTCTGTTGTCCCGCACACGTCGTAGTTATACAAGTGGGGTAGAGTTCCGGTCCCCAAAGTGTCAGAGTAACGTGGTGGATAATATGGAATCACAGGCAGACCGGAGTGATAGAGGATTCGAGACTGTCTCCATCTGTAGATCTTCACTGAGATAATAACAACTAAACACGTGATGAAGAGGAAGGAAACTACAGCCAGAGCCAACACTAAGTAAAAAGTCAGGTTGTCATTGTACTCCTTGTCGTGTTTAAAGTCAGTGAACTCAGACAGTACTTCAGAGAAACTGTCAGCCACCGCCACGTTAACAATGACTGTAGCTGAACGAGAGGGCTGTCCGTTGTCCTCCACTATAACAGTCAGTTTTTGATTGACAGGATCTTTATCAGTCACTTGGCGGATAGTTCTGATTTCTCCATTCTGTAAGCCAACTTCAAACAGAGCCCTGTCTGGGACTTTCTGGAGTTTATAGGAGAGCCAGGCATTCTGTCCAGAGTCCACATCAACAGCCACCACTTTAGAGACCAGATAGCCCACATCTGCTGAACGAGGCACCATTTCACCCACCACAGAGCCACCAGTCTGGACTGGGTACAGAACCTGAGGAGGGTTATCGTTCTGGTCCTGGATCAGTATCTTCACGGTCACATTACTACTGAGTGGAGGAGAGCCTCCATCCTGAGCTTTGACTGCAAAAACCACCTCTTTAATCTGCTCATAATCAAACGAACGGACTGCATGTACAACTCCACTTTCTGCATTTACAGAAACATAATGAGAAACTAGTGACGCACCTATTTCTATATCTTCCAAGATATATGAGATTTTAGCATTTTGGTTTTCGTCTGGATCTTTAGCAACGAGCCTCAAAACTGAAACACCTGGGGAGTTATTCTCCGGAATAAAGGCACTGAACAGGGTTTGTAAAAACACGGGAGCGTTGTCGTTTACATCAGACAATTTTAAAGAAAATGATCTTTAAAAGTTATTCGTTGATGATTTTAAATGAAATGGAACATGGTCGCTTGTAAAACATTGGACTTTTCCGTTTTCTCCCGAGTCTTTGTCTTCAATAACAATCATCGTGACAATTGTATTCGGTTTTACATCCTCTGATATTACATTTGACTTTGACATGATGTTAATCTCGGGTTTGTTGTCATTTACGTCTTGCACTTCAACAATTAATTTACAAGAATCTGTTAGCCCACCCGCATCGGTAGCAATTATATTTACTTGATAATTTTTTTTCTCCTCAAAATCCAGTTTCCCGTTTAAGTAAACGTTTCCGTTTTCCTCGTTTACAAAAAACATTAAACTGTCGCCGTCTAATGTGTTTGAGACCGAATACATTATTTTACCATTCGGACTCTGGTCTGCATCAGTGGCTGTTACAGTGACTATAACTGTTCCTTTAGGTGAATTCTCAGTAACCATGGTCTTATAAGTGGACTGACTAAAAACAGGAGCGTTATCATTGGCGTCTAACACTGTAATAAGTATCAGCATCGTTCCCGACATCTGCGGCTCGCCTCCGTCTACAGCCGTTAACACGAGGGATATCTCCTCCTCTTTCTCTCTGTCTAAAGGTTTCTGTAGAACCATCTCAACGTTTTTGTCCCCTTCATTACTGCTGTGCACTTTTAGAACAAAATTATCTGTTGGTTTTAACTCGTAGCTTTTCAGATCATTTATTCCTACGTCATGATCCACGGCTGCCTCCAGGAGAAATTTCGCCCCAACTATAGCTGATTCGCTTATTTTGAAATGGATTTCGCTTCTTTTAAACGTGGGCGCATTGTCATTGACGTCAGTAATTTGGACGGTGGCTGTAAAAAATTCCATAGGGTTTTCTAAAATAATCTGAAAATGTAAAGCGCACGGCGTCGTCTGTTTGCAGAGCGCCTCTCTGTCGATTTTCTCTTTAACCAGGAGGACGCCTCTCTCTCTGTTCAGCTCGATGTACTCACCGTTCTCTCGGGTATAAATTCGGGCCTTACCCGATGTGAGACGCGACGTTTGTAAACCCAAATCATTGGCTATGTTTCCCACTAAAGATCCTTTGGACATTTCCTCAGGTATCGTGTAGCTGATCTGCCCAAATACGGAGCAAATCAGAAGAAACAGGATGAACAATGACGCCAGTCCCTTCATTGTTCTGTGGCAGTGTGTGGCCGTAGTGAATACTGACTTCGCCGAAAACGTCAAAGGCCGCAATCCGTGTCACAATTAAGCTTTAATCCGACAAAATTCCACCAATGAAAAAGATAAAAAGATGAAATATTGTAGTATTCCTTCCTGTTTTATCGGTATTGTACAGACTCCGCACGCCTCTGATTTTCACTGGTGTCCTTTCTGAATAACGTCGAAGAATCATGGGAGGTGCTGATACTGTTCTACTCACTCCATCTACACTGCGGTAAACAGCGGCCCTTTGAGTTCATAAAAAGGAACTGCAGAAAACATTACACAATTTTGTTTCCTCAATGCCAATGTAGAAACCACCATAAAACGACCATAGTGGCTGCTGCGGCAAGCACTCACTGCTACTTCTTCCTTTCCTAAGTTATGTACTGTATGACACGAGGGGAAAAACAAACAAACAAAACAATTACAATAAAACTGAAAATGTAACAAAAGGGAAAAATAAAATGTTCAGTCAAATAAAAAGGAACAACATATTGATGTAAAACGATAAGGTAGTGTAACAGATAGAGGCGGAAAAAGAGATTCGCCAGCACTGTCGCTATCCATGGTGCTGAAACGAATGTCGTTCTTGATTAAAAATTGTCACCTCCTAAACTAACATAAATTATGCCATGAATACCGGTGCAAATAACAAACAATAACAGTTCTAATACTACTGCTGACTAAGAAAAGTGTTATCAGAATAAGGTTACACCATTTTACATGTTAATCCAGAAAGAATACTGCATAAAAACATGTATAAAGGGAAAAGCAAAGACCATGCTTCAACAGAAAATAAGCACAACACGCCTAGATGTTTGTTTTGTGCTTGTCATGTTTTGAAATTTCATAAATAGTATGTAATGTTTGAAAAGTGATAACACTAACAATGGACAGTTCACGACAGGTTATTTACATAAGAAAAACAAAGATAATAAACCAACCTCTAGGGGAGAGTCTGGTTCGTCTAGGATGCTTGTTGCACTCTGTATCCTCTCCATCGTTCTTGTAGAGGTAGGATCCATTATTAGCATGTTCTCACTACTGACAGTGCCAAACTTAAGGTCACTCTTTCTAGAGTCATTTGTCCTGCACACCTCGTAGTTGTACACATGAGGGAGAGTTCCTGTACCCAAAGTGTCAGAGTAACGAGGTGGATAATATGGAATCACAGGCAGACCGGAGTGATACAGTGTTCGAGACTGCCTCCATCTGTAGATCTTTACTGAGATAATAACAACTAAACAGGTGATGAAGAGGAAGGAAACTACAGCCAGAGCCAACACTAAGTAAAAAGTCAGGTTGTCATTGTACTCCTTGTCGTGTTTAAAGTCAGGGACCTCAGACAGTACTTCAGAGAAACTGTCAGCCACCGCCACGTTAACAATGACTGTAGCTGAACGAGAGGGCTGTCCGTTGTCCTCCACTATAACAGTCAGTTTTTGATTGACAGGATCTTTATCAGTCACTTGGCGGATAGTTCTGATTTCTCCATTCTGTAAGCCAACTTCAAACAGAGCCCTGTCTGGGACTTTCTGGAGTTTATAGGAGAGCCAGGCATTCTGTCCAGAGTCCACATCAACAGCCACCACTTTAGAGACCAGATAGCCCACATCTGCTGAACGAGGCACCATTTCACCCACCACAGAGCCACCAGTCTGGACTGGGTACAGAACCTGAGGAGGGTTATCGTTCTGGTCCTGGATCAGTATCTTCACGGTCACATTACTACTGAGTGGAGGAGAGCCTCCATCCTGAGCTTTGACACGAAACTGAAAATCTTTGATTTGTTCATAGTCAAAAGAACGCACTGCATGTATGACTCCACTATCAGCACTGACAGACACATAGGAGGAGACTGGTACTCCGTTAACAGAGGAGTCCTCCAGGATGTAAGACACACGAGCATTCTGGTTCCAGTCTGCGTCTCTGGCTTTAACTGTGAATACAGACAGACCTGGTGTGTTGTTTTCTACTATGTAGGCCTCATATGAGCTCCTCTCAAAGACAGGTGCGTTGTCATTAACATCAGAAATCTGTAAGGTGAGAGTGACGCTGCTGGAGAGAGAGGGCACTCCCTCATCAGAGCAGCTCACTGTTATATTATACTCAGACGTTTTCTCTCTGTCTAACTCACTGTCTGTAACTACTGTAAAGAAATTATTCGTAGTTGCCTTAATGACAAAGGGAATGTAATCGTTTAAAACGCACATGACTTTACCGTTGTCATTTGAATCTGGATCCTGTACATTAAACATTGTCACAACTGTCCCCGCCTTCATGTTCTCGGCTACTGTATTTATTTTAGACATAATGTTAATGGATGGATGATTATCATTTATATCTGCCACTTCTACAATCACTTTACATGCATCTGATAACCCCCCCTGATCTGACACCTGGACGTCTAGGTCGTAACGTTTTCTTTTCTCGTAATCTACATTGCCGTTTAAGGTTAATATTCCCTCATTTGCATCAATTTTGAAAAGGCCCCCAGCTCCAGATTTTGAAATGCTGTAGCTTAGCTTTCCGTTGTTTCCTTTATCAATATCACTTGCCGTCACTGTAGTTATCACAGTGTCAGGCGGTGCATTTTCGATTACACTTGCTTTGTATAGAAGTTTTGAACAAATTGGGGGATTATCATTTACATCTAACACAGTTATGAGAATCTGCATCGTCCCTGTGAGCTGTGGTTCTCCTCCGTCCACCGCAGTGAGAACCAACGATAAATGTTCACGTTCTTCACGGTCTAAAGGTTTCTGTAAAACCATTTCGACATCTATGCTCCCGTCGTCTCGACTGATGGTTTTCAGTGCAAAATGATCACTGGGTTTTAAGGCGTAGCTGTTGACACCATTGACACCCACGTCATCATCTACGGCTTTCTCTAAGACGAACCGCGCTCCAGACAGAGCCCCCTCGCTTATTTCATGTCTAATTTCACTCCTCTCAAATGAGGGAGGATTGTCGTTTATATCGGTCACTTCGACAGTCACTGTGTAAAACTCCATGGGATTTTCAAGGATCATTTGATAATGAAGCGCACAGGGCGTCGTTTGACCGCAAAGAGATTCTCTGTCTATTCTATCTTTAATAAGAAGGACGCCTTTGTCCCTCCTCAGCTCAATATATTCTTCAGTATTGGCCGTATAAATGCGAGCTTTGCCCGAATGTAATCGTCCCACACTTAAACCCAAATCCTGGACTACATTTCCTACTAAAGCACCCTTTGTCATTTCCTCAGGGATGGTGTAACTGACCTGCCCCCACACTGCACTTGAGGAGAGAAACAACATAAAGAGCAGCACTTGCCATCCCATCGTTGCGTTCAAAAAGTAGGCAAAAAAAAAAATCTTTAAATTATTCGACCAAAGATCCAATTTTGACAGACAAATGCAGGTGTACAATCCCAGAGGTTGGTATGAAGTCCAAAACAATGCATTTACATCGTCGAACAAAGAAATCCCTCCTCGCCGTCCTCGTCTATGTTGTCCCTGCAATCTTGGCTGCTAACTGCCTCTCCCTGTGTAGTCTCAATACGGCAACTGAGATAAAGAGGAGGTTCTGGATCATATGTGTACCCAGCAACTCGACGGGCAACAGCGTCCCTCTCTGTTCACTGAACTGAACTGCATGGCATTCTTGTTCAACACAAGGAATGCATCATAGAGTTTCTAAAACAATACTAATAGTAATCAACACGTGTAAAATGGTGGTATTGTAGTATGCCTATAAAAAATAAGTATTTTTTACCAAGATATATTTTACAAAGACCATCGGTACGAACGATAAGAGAAAACATGACAGGCAAAAAAGAGCTTCAAAAAGAAAAAAAAAGAAAAAAAAGAAAAAGCAGTATGTATATAATAGTTGGATAGACAGGAATAGTTTAATAAATATATGTGTGTATGTGCATACATACATATATTTATGGATATATATTTATATATATATATTATATATTTTAAAGGGACACAAATATTCAGCAGCTGTGCAGAGAGGATATGAAAATGTATTTGTATGTTTTTAAAACTGACCTCAAGAGGAGTATCTGGTTCATCCAGGATGTACTTTTCATTATGTATTCTTTGCATCGTCCCTGTAGAACTGGGGTCCATAATCAACATGTTCTCACTGCCAGGTTGGCCGTATTTACACTCACTTCTTCTGGAATCTGTTGTCCTGCACACCTCATAGTTGAAGACATGAGGGAGAGTCCCTGTCCCCATTGTATCCGAATAACGTGGTGGATAATATGGAATCACAGGCAGACCGGAGTGATACAGGATTCGAGACTGTCTCCATCTGTAGATCTTCACTGAGATAATAACAACTAAACAGGTGATGAAGAGGAAGGAAACTACAGCCAGAGCCAACACTAAGTAAAAAGTCAGGTTGTCATTGTACTCCTTGTCGTGTTTAAAGTCAGGGACCTCAGACAGTACTTCAGAGAAACTGTCAGCCACCGCCACGTTAACAATGACTGTAGCTGAACGAGAGGGCTGTCCGTTGTCCTCCACTATAACAGTCAGTTTTTGATTGACAGGATCTTTATCAGTCACTTGGCGGATAGTTCTGATTTCTCCATTCTGTAAGCCAACTTCAAACAGAGCCCTGTCTGGGACTTTCTGGAGTTTATAGGAGAGCCAGGCATTCTGTCCAGAGTCCACATCAACAGCCACCACTTTAGAGACCAGATAGCCCACATCTGCTGAACGAGGCACCATTTCACCCACCACAGAGCCACCAGTCTGGACTGGGTACAGAACCTGAGGAGGGTTATCGTTCTGGTCCTGGATCAGTATCTTCACGGTCACATTACTACTGAGTGGAGGAGAGCCTCCATCCTGAGCTTTGACGGTGAAAACCAGCTGCTTGAGTTGTTCATAATCAAATGAGCGCACCGCATGAATAACTCCTGTTTCCGAATTTATGGACACATAAGAAGAAACAGGACTACTACTGATTTGTGTGTCCTCCAATAGATATGAAACCCTTGCGTTTTGGTTCCAGTCTCGATCTAGGGCTGTTAAGCTGAATACAGACATCCCGGGGGAATTATTCTCAGTAATATACGCAGAGTAATTTGGCTTTGTAAAGACTGGATAATTGTCATTAACGTCTGTTATTTTTAGGTGTAAAGCTATTTGACTAGAAAGTTGAGGTGAGCCAGAGTCGGTTGCAATTATCGTGATGTTGTATTCGTTTGTAGATTCGCGATCAAAATGTACATTTGAAAGCAAGTTATAATAATTGGTTAAAGAAGACTGGATTTTAAAGGGCAGGTCATGATCTACAGAGCATTTTATCAGACCATTTCTTTCAGAATCAGAGTCCTTAACATTAAAAACGGCTATTGTCGTTCCTGGAGGTACATCCTCAGACACCAGGCTGGTGAATGACATTATATTTATAACTGGTGCGTTATCATTCGTGTCAATGACGTCAATGATTACTTTTGTTGCGTCACTCAGCCCGCCCTGGTCCTTGGCAATCACCCGTATTTCGTATTTTTTATCCTTTTCAAAATCAATATTCTCGGCAACAGTTATTTTACCAGTTAAACTGTCAATGTCAAACATTTCTGCAGATTTACCTTTAACGCTGGAAAAAGTGTATGTAACGATACCATTAGAACCAGTATCCGCGTCTGAGGCAGCCACGGTAGTTAAATATGTGCCTTTGGCTGCATTTTCTACCACAGAGGTGGTGTACAGTGACTGGTTAAATACGGGTGTATTATCATTAACATCTAAAACAGTTATCTCTATAGTTACTGTTCCAGATCTCTGTGGAGACCCACCGTCCACAGCTACGAGCTTTAAAGAGAGGTGCGGTTCCAGCTCTCTGTCTAAAGGCTTCTGTAAAACCATGACGGCGAATTTGATGCCGTCTGCATTCGACTGCTGTTTCAGAACGAAATTATCATTTGTTGATAAAACGTAATTCTGGAGACCGTTATTCCCGGCATCTGGATCATAAGCGCTTTCTAAATCGAAATGCGACCCGACTGTTGCAGATTCACTAATTTCTAAGCTAATGATTTTATTTTTAAACGTTGGTGCGTGGTCATTCACGTCCAATATTTCTACTGTTACCCGGTGCAATTCGATTGGGTTTTCTAAAATAATTTCAAAGCTGAAGCTGCACGGTGTCACGTCTCCACACAGCTCTTCTCTGTCTATTCTCTCATTCACCACCAGAATCCCTTTGTCTGTTTTCAGCTCCGCGTACTGGTTGTTTTCTCCAGTGACGATGCGGGCTCGGCCAGAACGAAGCCTTTTCAAATCCAAACCAAGATCTTGTGCAACATTACCGATCAACGAACCACTTCTCATCTCCTCCGGTATGGAATAGCGGATTTGGCCACGGATTGTGGAAATCATGGTGAAATAAAACAACAGTTGCCAAGAAGATATCCAGAGCGACAGCCATTTCCCGCATCGATTCTGACGTATTCCCATGTCCTTAATTGTCGAATCCCACATGTACTGCCTATGGAATTTACCTATATAAGTTGACTCCGCCGTGTATCCAAATAAAATAGCGCGCTATACAAAAAGACGTAAGTAAGTATTGTTAATAAAAAACGTCGTCTCAGTTTGACTGTCGAAGACCCACTGACATGGAGACCGTGCTTTATCTACTCCTCTATACGCAGACACACAAGCTGCAGACCTCATTTTATTGACCAACAGCGTCACTTAGAGTCCAAATGCAGGTAATGAAAGTAACACAAAGTAAACGTTGAAAAAAAAACAAAAAACTGGGTATGTAAAAAAAAAAACAATTGAATGAAATTTACATGTAAATAATTGTTTATGCTATGATTTTGATATGATCATCAATCAAAAATGTTTTTGAATCACATTTGAACTATTTTGAATTTTGTAATATCTCATTTGCGCAACTGAACTCGCAAGACCATTGCAGCACCATGGACAGCGACATACATGAGCCGACATTCTTCTGAATGTTTGAGAATGCACAATGCGATTTTTTAAAACTTTAAAACAAATACATCCCTTTCATAGGAAATGTTGGCAAACAATCACTACCAGAATTTACCAAAGCAAATATTGACCACCATGACGGATGAACAGACAGTATTCAGCATTCACATTGAAAAGAAGATTTCAATGTGTGAACAACGCAGCCGAACATTCGCCTCGAAAACAAAAACTCAGACA